GAGAAATACAAAAAAATTCAAGCTGTCTCGTAGGCGACGCCCTATTAAACCATGGATTACCCCGGGGCTACTCAAGTGTATTCGACATAGGGATAACTTATACAAAAAAATAAAAAAACAACCAACGAATGAAATATTGTCTATTAGTTATAAACGATACCGCAATTACTGCACAAATATATTAAGAAAGGCTAAAAGAGATTACGAGAGGTTGGAATTTAAGAAAGCTGGCAACAACTGTAAGCAATTATGGCAGGTGATTCGAACTGCCACTAATAGAAGTATTCCTAAATCGAGCGCGATAGACCTAATTGAGACTGGTAAAGATAATCAGCAGTCAATAAACAGCATTAACGCCTATTTCGCAGGTATAGGTAGGCAACTTGCAGAGAGCATACACAGGGATTCTTCCTCTTCTTCTACTAACGTCCAATTCAACTCCAAGGAATCTTTTGTCCTACTTGAAACTGACGAATGTGAGGTGGAACGGTTGATTATGTCTCTAAAAATCAACTGTGCAGTAGGATGGGACGGTATATCATCCGGCTTTTTAAAGAAATACAGGACCATTCTCGTTACCCCACTCACATATATTTTCAATCTGAGCATTACAACAGGCAAATTTCCGGTGTCCTTTAAGAGAGCGCTTCTCCATCCAATTCACAAATCAGGCGATCGAGGCTGTGTGGAAAACTATAGACCCATTTCGGTACTACCAGCAATGTCAAAAATTTTAGAAAAAATTATTAACTCTAGGCTTATTAATTATTTAGAAAATCGTAACCTACTATCTGTTAACCAATTTGGTTTCAGAAAGAATCTATCCTCCGAAGATGCTGTACACAATCTGGTGGACTCTATAGTCAGAAAACTGGACAAGGGTCAGAAATGCGTTGCATTATTTTTAGATCTCGCAAAGGCTTTCGACACGGTCTCGACAAAAATACTTGTGAATAGGCTTGAATCTTTAGGTATTAGAGGGACTCAACTGTCTCTGTTTCGTAGTTATCTGACGGGCAGATCACAGTTAGTAAAAATCGGTTCTTGTACTAGTACTGAAACGCCCATAACCTACGGCGTGCCCCAAGGGAGCATTCTGGGCCCAAGTTTATTTCTGGTTTATATAAATGATTTGTGCAATATTGGACTTGACCAGGGAGCAATTTTCGCGTATGCTGATGATACTGCACTGGTTTTCTCATCAGATGATTGGAGGGATACATACCATTTCGCTCAAAAGGGTTTCGATGTGGTTAATAATTGGCTAAGAAATAATCTACTCACGATAAACAATACCAAAACCAAAGTAGTTGACTTCTCTATCCGATCCCCTAATACGTTAGATACTTCCCTACAAATAACCTTTAACCTACCTGATAATGCTCCTTGTACTGACTCTTATTTCATAGAAAAAGTTACTTCTATTAAACATCTAGGTATCTATATTGATAATAACCTAACTTTCAAAAATCATATTAATTATATCTCAAGTAGAGTACGCAAACTTATCTATATGTTTAAAGAACTTCGACACTCTGCTGATGCTCATGTAATGAAAATGGTCTATACAGGTCTATGTCAATCTATCTTAAATTATTGCATTACCACATGGGGGGGTGCAGCTAAATCTCACACCTTGCAGATTGAGCGTGCCCAAAGAGCTGTGTTAAAGGTTTGCTGTTTCAAGCCTCGGCTGTACCCTACTAAAAGGCTTTATGAAATTTGCCAAGTTCTCACAGTGAGGCAACTGTTTGTGAAAGCTACCGTTCTCAGACAGCACTCTCAAACTTATTACACCTCTGATAATACTCGCCGTAATCGTTTGGAGGTCGCATCATTGCATGTTAAAAGTTCATTTAGCCGTAGGTTCTTTATTTTTCTAGGGCCCTACTTGTATAAAAAGTTGCACAAAATTTTGTCCTTACATAGTCTTAATACGTACCAATGTAAAGCCATCATCTCAGAATGGCTCTTAAAGCAATCATATAAAGAGACGGAGGACCTATTAATGATCTTACAGTGACACACTGGCGCATCCATTCCATATCAAACACTAACACATGCATTGTACATAAATCTTACAGAAACTAGGGTGCGCACATATGTAAGTCTAGTGGATATGTCATATGACTGATCCGATCCCAAGACCATGTCGTAGGGCTTGCAGACATAACGCATATACTCCTTCACAACTCCAATCTCACTACAAACACAAACATACATAAACACACACACACACACACACACACACACACACACACACATACACCCTGTTTTTGTTAATGTTATAATTATTACTACTCCCGCTCGTTTCTTTTTTCTTTTTTTCTTAAATTTTGTACTCTTGCACAACTATATTGTAACCACCTCACAAAGGTATTTTGAATTGTCAAGACGAGGTCCGAGTGGGGACCTGGTGTCCTGTAACACAGGTTTTTATACCTACCTCAGGCACCAGCTATCCACTACCGAAATTGTCAAATGTTATAGCGTAATCGTATTTTCATTGTATGTATTTTGGTTTTGGTGAGAAAATAAACGATATTATTATTATTATATTATTATAGTCAATTTCACGGACAGTGAGCCATCATCTAGTTTCAACAATGAGAGAGTAAAGAGTACTGGGGTAGACCCAGTACTCTTTACTCTCTCTCTCAATAGGGATGACCTGGTTTTGACAGCTCATAGCGGCCATGTTTGATGATGGATCTTTGACGTCTCTTGACAATTGTGTTCAGTAAGGTTTGCCATTTTATCATGTCACGTTTCACTTTAAACCAACGCTTGGAAATTGTCCAAAATTTCTTTGAAACCCTGTTACTGTGAATGGCGAGCGTTATAACTCGATGTTAACCGAATATTTCTTTCGGGAATTTCATGATATTGATGCAGACGACCTTTATTTTCAACAAGACGGTGCACCACCTCACATTACTCGAGTGAACAATGAATGATTGCGTGGAAAGTTTGGTGAGTCGTTAATTTCGAGAAATGGACCGATCAGTTGGCCACCAAGATCGTGTGATTTAACACCTTTAGACTATTTTCTTTGGGGTTACGTTAAATCTAAAGTGTACAGCAATAATCCAGTTACAATTCGTGACCTAAAAACCAACATTCGACGAGCCATAGCCGACATACCGGCCGAAATGGTGCACCGCGTCATCGAAAATTGGCGTGAGCGGGTAACCGTCTGCAAAAAGAGCCGCGGCGGTCATTTGGCCGATACATTATTTAAAACATTAACATTAAATTGCATAAAATTATCTATCAAATAAATCAATCGGATGCATTTTTCATTAAAATTGTGTGTTTTATTCAATTTTTAAACCAGGACGTTCTAGACCCCATATTTATATAAATACTATACAAAATATTTATTATATTGTATTTAAAATACATTATAACATTGTAAATATGTGTTTCAAGTGATTCATATGTAAGACTTTTGGATAGTTTATGTCATTTCATTGACGACACACAAGCCCGGACACTGCTGTGTCAATATCAGTCCCGGGTTCAATTCAGAACTTTCGGTGTCTCTTACCTTAGCTCCTTTACCATATTCGTTTACCTTACCAACAATTAACTTCTTCCTTTGCCTAAAAACGGTTACGTTCCCAAGGAAGGTTTGCGAGACAGCAAAAACCCATTAGAAATGAACTCAACACAAAAGATCTTAATTTCATTTTTTTTTGTAATTATTTGAAATCGTATATTATGTAGACTCTAAAGTCGTAGATCAACACACACACAACAGCAAAAATATCAAAAATAGCAAAAATTATACTTATACATACAAAATCTATAATATGCCTGAGCCGATCTACGACCGCCCGTTTCCATGGGGCTGAGCCTTGTGAGAAAAAAGGGCAAACAAACTCATGGGCACTCTTTTGTAATTTATAGATAGATACAATGGCATTATTAAATAAACCACAACTATGTTTTGATGTGTGCCAGTATGTCCGTTACTAAGGACTAAAAGGTAAAAAGACAATAAGGAGAAAAACAGGATTAAGAACAAAAAATGAAATAAAAGAGAAAGTAAAGTGAAAATAATAAAATAAAATAAAAAATAACACCTTGGCCCGCATCATATTTCCAATTAAGTAATAGCCTGTGCTAAATTGATCCCAAGCATTTTTGTCTTCTATGTAATCCACAATTGAGTAATGTGCTTTCTGACATAATTAACGTTTTATTGCGGGTTTAAATTTGTTAATATTTAAGTCTTGAATATTATTTGGAATTTTATTATAAAATTGGACATATTGATCTCGAAACGAGTTGTTTATCTTTTGGAGTCTAGAGGCAGATACTACAAGTTTATTTCTATTTCTGGTGTTTATAGAATATACATATATATTTTGGCCTACAATATTTGGTTTTGTTTCAAGTTTTTTTCTTTTTGCAGTGCTGTTACGACAGCTTAGTCGGCTCTTACGACACCCACGGGATGAATAGGGGTGGTGACACTCCGTATTATTAATCCGTCACCACACGGACAATTAGGCAAAGTACATAAAAAACGGTCGGAATACGTTCAAACTTTGTAGATATATCGAGGACCGATGACAATACACTAATTTAAAAAAAAAAGAAACTAATATATAGTTTTAAAAAACTAATAAAAACGCTTTCTATAGAAAACCAAACTAGCGTGTTTTCAGTTTTTTAAACGAATTGAAACGAACGAATTCCGACCGTTTAAAGTCAGTCAAAATCACGCCAAAAGGAGTCGGTTACAAACAAACATATAAGAGAAGCTAATATAAAGCGTGTAATAATAATGATTATGATTCATCTGAAGACCAGATATTATATTACTCGAACACATTCCATTTAAATAGGTACCTAAATTATAAACAAGGTTACAAACCTCTGTTTCCCCAATTAAAAATTTACAAGAAGCTCAGCAATTACTTTTATTTGTGTTTCTGTTAGACTCATAGATTATTAAGATTGGAACCATTCAAGAAGTAGATTTCATAAAAATGGGTGTCTTCGTGAAGAATGCTACCATGTCCGTGTCAATTTCTTTGACTGTGTTGAAAATGGCGGGGTTATGGGCTCCGGAACATTTGAAAGGCTCAAGAAAGTTACTCTACAGCTGTTACACTGTAGTGATCTTCATGTTTCTGCTTGGTTTGACTTTGGATTTATATATTATATTTAATAGTATAAGTTTTATGTTCTATTACAATCTGTGTTCACGGCTAGTACAATCTGGCCTAAATGTCGGGCAATTCAAACGTATATAATGCTAAATATGTGATCGCATTAAATCTTGTAAGAATATATGATTTTCTATCATGGAAGGTGTATCTTTAAAATGAATATTTTAGAAGGGCTTATCAAATATTAATTTTATACAAATAAGGAAGAGAGATTCATACCCTGTTATATAGCTTTAGTCAGAGCTTTCTTTACGCATTATACTAATCCTTAATCTCAAATCTGAAAATTAGGAACTTCAATCCAAAATGTAAAAAAAAAACTTTTTTAAAATATTGTCGTTTTTGTGTACTAAATGTAAATTAATTTCAGTTGTTGTACATATTTTGTAGGAATCTACATCATCATACAAGTGGTGGACCTGTGTATCATATGGGGTGATATTGCTCTTATGACCGGTACAGCATTTCTGCTCTTTACAAATCTAGCTCAAGCTGCTAAAATTGTGAACATCCTGGGCCGTAGGAAGCGGATTCAGGTTATCATTAATGATGCTGATAAAGAGTTGTCTGGAATAGAGAATGATGGTGAAGGAAAAATTGTTAAGAGGTGGGATGTAGCAAAATTAAATGCTGAATATTGTTTCATACTAATGTGTATTCAAACGTATACAAATACTAATTTATAAAATGTTAAGTTGGCCTGTGTACTCTTTACAAACTCTAAAAGTTTTGCACCGATAAAGCTCAAATTTTGAAACAAATACAAATCATTTCAGTTTGCTTTCTGATTCCTCAGCAATGGTAGCATCAATGGTGTTAGGGTACAGCTAACTTGTGTGTGTATCTTACTGAAAGTTGATGTCAAAAGTTTAAGTTACGTTGTATGCAGACACAAAATAGTTTACTTAACTTGAAAATAAGTTGACTTTCTCTATCATGAAGAACAACTACACAACAATGAATCACAAGCATTTCTCTATTTAATTCTATTTCATCAACAGCCTTTCATAGTCCACTACTGGACATAAGCCCCTCCTTAGAAAAGAGGTTTTGGCTGACTATACCACGCTGGCCAGACGGGTTGGTATAGGGTTTGTGTCAAGTTTTCATTCTATTTGCAGTGCTGTTGTTCTGCGTAGTTTACTCCCTTAGTCGGCTCTTACGACACCCACGGGATGAATTGGGGTAGTGACATTCATTAAACAAAAATATGACGATCAATTTGTTATTCACAGTTGTAATAAAGAAATGGTAATCCTACAAGCTCTGTATGTCTCCGTGACCTTTGTGACAACTCTCGGTTGGGCCACCAGCGCTGAGGAGGGACAACTGCCTCTAAGAGCTTGGTTAGATCGCTGATTTTTCTGTCAATGTTATATAATCGATCGGATGGCGTAGTTGTTTGTGTAACGGACTGCTATTCCAAAGGTCGCGGGTTTGATTCCAAGTCAAATATTTGTGTGCCAATGTCAATGTTTGATTTGGTCTGGGTGTTTCTATGTATAATATGTATGTATTTACAAAAAAAAGTATATATGTATTTAAATCAGTTGTCTAGTAGCCATAGTACAAGCTCTGCTTAGTTTGGGACTAGATTTCGTTGTGTGAATGTGGTAGAATATTGTTATTTAATATATTATATTATAATTGTACGACCATTTCGAGTTGCGCTTACACTCCTAAATTTATTCGTGGAAATAATCAAACAATATCCTTGTCCTAAAACTGCCTTCTATTCTTTCGTTCTTTTCATTATAATTTGCCCCTCTAATTAATAAATTGCCTATAATTGGCAATAGGCTTACCTAGGAAAATAAAAATGTGGTCGGTTATAGGCGAGGCGTTAAAACCCCCATCTATCTTATCTATCTCTTCTGAGGGTGTCTGCAATTTTTTAATAATTTAATTTTAATATATATATTTGACGACCGAATGGCGTAGTGGTTCGTGTAACGGGCTGCTATTCCAAAGGTCGCGGGTTCGATTCCCGCTCAAGTCAAACATTTGTGTGCTTGAACATTTAATGTTTGATTTGGTCTGGGTGTTTCTATGTATAATAAGTATGTATTTACAAAAAAAAAAGTATATATGTATTTATATCAGTTGTCTAGTACCCATAGTACAAGCTCTGCTTAGTTTGGGACTAGATGGCGTTGTGTATATGTGGTAGAATATTATATTATTATTATTATATTTAAATAAAACAAGCGCATTATTAAAAAAAAAAACGAACTGCGTGAAAATGTATGTTATTTATTATTATTTATATTATTTAATTTTTATGTATCTTGGGTCACTCACAATTAATATGATTTTAACGACACCTCATACGCCAAAAATCACTCAGCTATTCAGGCTTCAGAGCGTGTCAAAGAAATATATGTACATACACACACTCGAAACACACATGAATACTATGTATTCATGTGTGTTTCGAGTGTGTACTAGTACTATTACTAGTGTTGGAAATTATTGCTACTTTTAAATCATAATCATATGATGAAATAATTGGATCTAGTCATAAAAGATTAGATTTCGACTTTTCGCGAGTCTGGCGTTATCATAATCATAAACCGTAGAGTCTTAAGTTAGACCCAGTTTTCATCATGTGATTTATAAATCATATGATTTGTAACTAATGATTGTGATTTTATTTCATCCCTACATACATTATAGAGCTGGATGCGAGCAGCCCAAAATCGATCTAAGTGGCGTGCAATGGGAGAGGCCTATGTCCAGCAGTGGACTGCGATAGGTTGATGATGATGGTACATTATTCGTTTTTGATTCTTAAATGCTTTTAATTAAGACTAATATACACATATTATACTAGGTACCCCTACGACACGACCAGATCTCCTGCATACGAGCTGACCTACGTTCACCAGGTCGTCGCGCTCCTTATCGCCGCTTACCTGAATGTGGCTAAGGACACGTTAGTGGCTGCGCTGATCGCGCAGTGCACGTGCCGGCTGCGGCTCATTGGGCACGCCTTGGAGAACTTGGCAATAGATTTGGATACTACTGACAAGGTAGATGATATTTAAATCCTTTATTATTGTCTTATTCTAATGCTTTTTAGTTACTAGACAAGATAAAAACTATACTTAATAGTGATACAAATTAAAAAACCGGTCAGGTACGAGTCGAACTCGTGCGCCGAGGGTTCCGTACCTACCCAGGTTTTACATTTTGCCCATATCTTTTATCGTGTTGACTCAGGACCTTGGTTTTTTTACATCTAATAGGGACCATAGACCTCAGTACCTGGTATGCTATAAAGAAAATCGGTGGAGACACACGGACAGACGGACAAGAAACTGATCTTATAAGGTTTATTTTTTTACCTTTTGAGGTGCGGAACTCTAAAAATCATCATCATCATCAACAGCCTTTAGTAGTCCACTGCTTGACATAGGCCTGTCCTTAGAAAGGAGGTTTTGGCCTTCTATACCATGCTGGCCAGACGGGTTGGTATAGGGTTTGTATCAAGTTTACCTTCTCTTAGCAGTGCTGTTGTCCTGCGTAGTTTGCTCCCTTAGTTGGCTCTTATGACACCCATTTGATGAATAGAGGTAATCAAAAAAATTTGTAATAGTATCCACCTTCAGGTTTTTTTTAATGGCATATGGGTAAAACGAGCAGTCGGGTCACTTGATGGTAAGCAACTAGCGCTACCCATCGACACCTCTAACTCAAGACACTTTGTAGTGCTCTTGGAGCGCCTCTCTCCCAGAATAAGGGAGGAGGAGGGGGAAAGGGAGGCTGTACAGACATTCATTCAAACGGACACAAAGTACAGTACACTCAGGACAAAAATTTTTGGATCACACAAAGTGTTCTCCTATGTCGGGATCGAACCCACAACACTACACAGTAGGAAGCTGCGAGGTGACCGCTCAAACCACTACGCAATTAGTGAAAATTTACACACACGATGCAATCTGTTGTCTTAACTGTTTTAAGTCATTGATTTAGAAACCTACGATCGCTGTTCCTTGTTATTACTTTGTTTATTTTATATTATGCTCACTAAACTTCTTGCACTGTAAAGTTCTTGAGTATTAATAAAGTTTTTTAAATAGACGACCGGATGGCGTGGTGGTTTGTGTAACGGACTGCTATTCCAAAGGTCGCGGGTTCGATTCCCGCTCAAGTCAAACATTTGTGTGCATGAACATTTGATGTTTGATTTGGTCTGGGTGTTTCTATGTATAATATGTATGTATTTACAAAAAAAAAAGTATATATGTATTTATATCAGTTGTCTAGTACCCATAGTACAAGCTCTGCTTAGTTTGGGTCTAGATGGCGTTGTGTGTATGTGGTAGAATATTATTATTATTATTATTATTTAAAAATATATAAGTATGTTTATCAGCAGTCTGGTTACCATAGTACAGGCTCTGCCTAGTTTGGGATCAGACTGCTGTGTGAGAGATGTGTGAAGTTGTTAGTGTTATTATTATTTGTTCTGTGTCTGTGTGCAATTTATCTATAATATGTATTAGCAGTATTCAGCAGTAATATTATATTTGTGACGCGTGATATGTGTGACGCTATCATTATTACGTAAGGCCTCCGTATTTAAAATAAAGCGACATCTCTAACAGGCTAACAGACTTAACAAACTTTTCACTTCCACGGCACAGTTGAGTCACATGATAATTCTCCAAATAAAACATAGATGACGCTTTCATCAATATTAAACATTGCTGTCTGTCAATTAGGAAAATACGTACCAAGTATGAAAGTGGTTTGGGAAAACACACCGCTGGACTTAAATATTGTCTAAGCAATCAATTGCTGAGTCGCGCAAACGTTGCAAAGATTACGTGTTGAATGTTTTTTTTAAGACTATGGCAACTTTAATTTTCTTTCTTTCCTTATTTTTTTTTCTTAAAGACAAGCTTTGAAATGCTAAGTGCTTCAATAATGTAATTCTAGAAATCCTCCGTAGTATGAATTCGGCCACAATCGTTATTAAAAAAATTAAAGTAAATATGAATTTACAAACCCCCCTCTAATTGTGGGTGAGTTCAATGGACGGCACGGCAACGCATTTGTGACCTTAATTTTAAGGGAAGAGGGGAGAGGGTATTGAGAAACTGCCCATGAACACCTGCAACTAAGGACTGCACGGACTACACTCGTTGGCCCCTGTAAAAAAACAATAAAAAAGACCAACGTGTTTTCTTGTCTACATTTACATTACTAAATTTACATTGTACACATGAGATCATACACTTTTAGAATACTGTGTAAAACCAAGTCAGCAAAAGGAAAAAACCTTGCCAAATTCTCTTTTTTTACCGTAGCTCATCGATAGCTATGTAACCAAAAAAAAGGCAATCTGTTAAAACACTTGACATAATACTACTGAATAGTTTTGTTTTAAACAAAAAACTCGTAACAATTTTTCCTATTAAAATCACTGGACTTAGTTAACAGTTAGGTACTAAGTAAAACGAAAAAAACCCGAGCAAATGGTTCTTTGTACTCGTACATTGTTTAAGTTGTACACTGATTAATTTACACATAGGTACTCATGTTAAGATTTAACTTGTGTTATCAGTACCAGTTTTGTCCGTGTGGTAACGGATAAAGAATAAAGATTGTCCCCCCTATTCATTCCGTGGGTGTCGTAAGAGGCGACCAAGAGAGCGAAGGAAAACTTAAAACAAACCCTATACCAACCCGTGGTATAGTGAGCCAAAACCTTCTCTCCAAGGGGAGGCCTATGTCCAGGAGTAGACTGCTAAAGGCTGTTGATGATGATGATGGGTACCAGAGCTCTCTCAATGAAAACAACAAACATGTAAATTTTTGTAGAAAAAATAATGTTCTTCTTCTTGGTTGTTAACTGTTTTGTACATATAATTAATTAGAAATATTTATGCATAGAAGATATTTATAAAATTGCATCTAACTTCTACGAACTATTACACGCAGTTTCACCTGCGTTTTGGAAACTACCCCATACGCAAGGGTCTAAAAAATACATTCAAATCTGACTATAACTAATAAATTAAAATTAAATCAATAAAAAAAAAAATCACAATATAAAGTAAGAAAACATTCCTAACTTATTACAGTACGCCTTTACACCGGACCAAGAGACATCAATATACAGCCGACTTCGTTTGTGCGTGATTCGGCACCAGAAAACGCTAGAAGCCGCTAAAGAGCTGCAAGCCTGCTTCTCGGAGCCAACCTTCGCGCAATTCACAGTGTCCCTCATCATAATTTGTGTCACGGCATTTCAGATGTCTGTAAGTAATTGTCATAAATGGTGAGTTTTTAAAACAAAAATATGAACACTCCGACATCAGGATCCAGAACAGCTCTCATCAGCATCATCTCAGCCGAAAGACGTCCACGCCTCTCACAAAAACCGATCGTGTGCTGCCTGCACACACACACACACAAAGAGAGAGAGAGAGAGAGAGAGAGAGAGAGAGAGAGAGAGAGAAAGAGAGAGAGAGAGAGAGATATATAGAGAGAGAGAGAGAGAGAGAGAGAGAGAGAGAGAGAGAGAGAGAGAACAATAGGACATCGGAAAGTGGTTCTAATTTAGCTTCCACTATTCGTGACAAACGGACATACAGTACAGTACTGTGTACAGTGATTGATTCTCATACACATTCTTTTATCCCAAACTGATTATTACGTCCACATCTATAAAATAGAACCACTCACTTAAAATATAGGGCAAGTCTATTAGAAAGTCTATTAGAAAAGGTCGATTAGAAAGAAAAGAAGAATAAGTAGTAAGAATAGATTAAAGTGTGTAAGCTAAGCAAGCTTAGGATCGCAACCTGAGACTCGTTCAGGATTTTGCTGGCAAATCAGAACCCTAACACGTGGTATTAGGATACTATGACAGCTCTGAAGTATACCAAAATTTTTGTATTTTTCTATTTCAATAGGATCACTAATGATAAAGCTTAAATATAATATTGAAATTTCACAGATGATGGGCACAGACAACCTGGTGCGTCTCCTCTCAATGGGCACCTACTTGATGAACATGGCTTTCCAAGTGTTTATCTACTGCTATCAAGGGACCTACCTGTCTGAAGAGGTAAGCATTACATGGTAAAGAAGATAGGGGAAATCTTAATCATATTTATTTGTGCCAGCTGAACGTAATTTTTAGCTGACTAACTTAACTTAGCTGACTTTTAACTTAAAAAGAAAACTAAGAAAGAAAACTTCTCAATTATGTTGTGTTTTTCATGTTTGTCACCTCATAACTCAGTAATTATATAAACCTATATGATTTTTTTTTTAATTGGAAGGACTACTACTACTGCCGAATAATAATAAAAAAACAATACCGTCCCTAAGGGTGGTTTATCAAGGAATGAAGAATCTAGTGTGGTAAAATTCATTTTTTTAAGTATATAATATGTTTTTCACAGTCATCAAAAATTGCTTCTTCGGTGTACTGTTGTCCGTGGTACATGTGTTCGGTGCGCCTGCGCCGCGAGTTGTTGATTGTGATGTTGCGCACGCGACGAATCACCAAACTCACCGCCGGAGGATTCACTACTCTGTCACTTGCTTCCTTCATGGCTGTAAGTAGTACCTATCAACTTAATCATTTTATCGACGACACGGAGGTATCAAAAGTAATAATACGAGGAACATCACAAATATGAAAACTAGTACGAGTACAAGAGTAAGGTTTAGCAGAATGTTCTGGCACCTTCTATTCCATCCTTAATCTCATTAATTCTAATTTCCCAGTCATTTGTAGGTCACCCCTTCTATGAAAACTAACTAGAGTGTTTGTATTATTAAAGTTTTAACTTTTTGGTTATGCAAGAATAAAAATAGTCACAACATCAAAAGAGTTTAACTTTCAGATCAAACTATGAAGAAAGAACGATTACATCCCCAAGGAAAATTGGCGTCAGACAGGTGGTCGGCCATTTACGAAATAAAAGAGGACTGATTGAGGAAAATGGAGAAAGAAAACTCACTCCACCAAACCCAAATAAATTAACATGCACAGGGTCAGACGATGATGATGAAAAGGGTTTTTAGTTGGTCCTTAGCCTTGTTCCGTAGCCTTGCAAACACAGTTTTAACAGCTCTTTCTATTTATTTTACAGACACCTTAATGTTCACAGAATAATTCATGAGCAGAATTGTATGATTGTCTGTGTCTTCCTGCTTTATTTACCTTTTTGATTTTACAGATAATCAAAGCTTCATATTCATTGTTCACGTTACTGCAACAAGTAAACGAAGAATAAACGGATGAAGAAGTACAATTATTTCATGCAAGAGAAACATGGCATTGGAATGTTTGGTAAAGTCTTGATTACATAAACTTTCTCATAGAAATAAGTTTTTTAATACCCTAACCATGTTAGAAGGAATTGAACTTATTGCTTACAAACATTTCCAGGTCAAAACTTCCAGAAAGATTGAGCAAGTGTAAAAATGTTGGTCAATGTATATCAAATTCAAAAATACTTTGCAAAAAAGTTATGTTTGAAAATAAAATGTCTCCGTCGGATCCTAAAACAAGCCTGGTCTATTATTTATTTACGGTAATATCTAGTCAGTACAGGGGATGCTGGAAAAAATTAAACTGTACTCTAAACAGTTTAATGTTCAAAGATATTGACCGAGTGTCATGTTCGATATTTCAATAGGCAATTATTGTAGATCCTGGGATCCAGGATTCAGTCAGGAAACGTGGATATCATTGGACTCATTTTCATAAAATATAACATGAGTAGCGCCAAATGATAGAGGCCAGACACTTCGAATGCGAGAAGAAAGCAGCCCCACCGCCTTAAAAAATTACTTCACGACTCCACATCCTTGGTAATAGTCGCACACAAACGTATCTTCAGCAATTGCATTAATCAACACAGTATTCTCGATAATTAGAATGTATATTAAATGATAGAACTGTCTTTAATTACAGAGTGTGTTTAAATCCTTTATTGAAACCACACGCTGAGGTTGGTATAATAACGTAATTATATCTGTGGTAACGTTTACACGAATACACTGACAATTATCGCGTATGAAAACATGAGTGGGCAACATTTGTACTCCGCTAATGGGTATTTCCTTACCTAAATAAATTATTGCTTGGAAGAACTAAAAAACAAGTCTTAATGGCACCTTGTTGGCACACTGAATCAAATAATAATATTAAGATTTCGGACTATACTTTTCGTACTATGAAAGCTTGATTGACTGATAGAATACTTAGATACTTTTTTTTTTGTAAATACATACTTATTATACATCATCAATAGCCTTTAATAGTCCACTGCTGGACATAGGTCTCTCCTTAGGAAGGAGGTGTTGGCCTACTATACCACGCTGGCCAGACGGGTTGGTATAGAGCTTGTGTCAAGTTTTCCTTCTATCGCAGTGCTGTTATTCTGCGTAGTTTTTTCCCTTAGTCGGTTCTTACGACACGCACGGGATGAATAGGGGTGGTGACATTCTGTATTCTTAATCCGTCACCACACGGACAACTACTCTTATACATAGAAAACAGACACTAGAACATTTTTTTTGGTACCACGTCCTTAAGAGTCCTAAGTTTTTAGAAAAGTTACAACAATACTTGTTTTTGACTGGCCAGCTGGTCTAGTGGTCATATAGTGACCCTGACTATTGCGCCAGAGATTGTTTTTTATTTATTTTATTTTATTTGGAAAACAAACAGTATTAAAAACTTAATGGTAAGAGCAAATAATGTAGCTAAAAGCCAAGTACATGTTTTCACATTTAAATAACTATTAAGACCTAGTTTGTTAAAAAAAAAACAACAACTACAACAATTAAAATACACATAATAAAATGCTATAAAGTATAATTTAAGCAGATATTGAACCAGTTCAAACCAATGTTTGGAAAGTTATTTGATTAAAAACATTCGGCTTAGTAGTGAATAAGTCAAGTTCGGAAAAGTCCAACAACTTATTGTAGCACTTAGCGGATCTTATGAAGAATTAATTCTGTCTGTAGTTTGTGCTGCAGCGGGGGACTTTAAGAAGAAGAAAAGGTATCCTAACAGATCTAGTAGGGGCACGTAACTCACTGTTTGTCCAATACCGACCCAGGACAAGTAATTGTATGATGAGCATGATCATTTGTTTTGTGTCTGGACATGGTGCTGAAGTAGGCAATCAGATGGTAGGTGAGGTGCTGGAAGACACACATCCTGTACGACTACTGTAAGGCTTTTTTTTTTAATTATTGACTGCGATCTAACCGTATCCTATCTTAAGTGACTTTTTTGTGATATGTTTGCTTCTTTGTGTGTTTATGCCAAGGCAATGTAAAGTTCGGTACAATCCATATACGTATACGTAAAGTACAATCTATATAAAAAAATTGGTTGCCTGTAAAGTCGGTATACTGGCGAAAGTTTTACGTGACAACGACTTTGAGTGGTAAAATAATGTTAATGTGAATATTCATTCTTATAGTAGGAAGAAGGATGAAATAATAGTAACAATTTAAAACATTTATTTATACAAAGAATTATATTTAAAAAAGGGACGCGTGCCTTTCACTTTTTATGTCTGTCTCTCTCGCTCTTAGGCGGGCTAACCATGCCCGAGTGGAAGGGACGCGTGCCTCTCACTCGCTCTCATTGTGAGCGCATAACGTGAGTGGAGCGTAACGCAGTTTCTTGAAGTGTCACCCGGCAAACCAATTTATAAGACGTTGTCACGTCAATATAAAAATAATGTATAGTTGGTTTGTGAACGCTTTAAAAACTCAAAAAGTTCTGCACCGATTGGGCTCAAATTTTGACACGATATAAATATTGTTTTTATTTTGTAAAACTACAATTTGTCGCAGCAAAGCGTTGCAGGGTACCGTTTGTATTGCATATATTTAAATTTAAATTAATAATATAATTTAATATTGATTAGCTATCATTTAACAAGTTTTTAACTAATTTTTAGACTCTTAATCGCTAAAATATAAATGCAAAAAGATTGAAGTGGAATTGGGAATAGACTGTCAACTTAAATCAGTGACTTTTATAACGAAATGTGATTATTCGTGATGTATGTTTGTTTTGGGGTTGTCGTAAGGATGGATCATTTTAATAAACTTTTGACGTGACAACGTCTTATAATTCGATGGAGCCGGCTGCACGCTCGAAAAAACATGGCTCATGCGGCGTTACCTCACTCTGAGGCGTTCCATTTAAGGCTTGAAGTGCAAGCGAGAGCGCGGAACGAGCGACAAAGAGGCACAATCGGCCTCCGCGTTCGGCAGCGTTTGACATCTGTCTCTCTCCTACTTGAGTGAGCGATGCGTCCGCGTGGACAGCTGCTATACAATAATTTACATGTTTTCGTAAAATGCAACCATTCCATCAGTATTTTCTTATGACGTTGTCACGTTCAACTATCGTCAGTAAACCGACTTTACAGACAACCGATTTTTTATTTATTCTTAACCAAAACGGGCTCTGGCCACTTACATTAATTAAGAGAAAAACGTTAATACAGTAAACGATACTTTACAACAATTTCATCTCTTTACAATATAAAGCTACGCTCATTCTAACACATAGACTTCACAGACACTAAACATACTGAAATAATTCTCTGCCATTTATCCGCATACAATTCACAGTCTGGATTTGAGTCCAAGAGAGAGTTGAGTGCTGTAACTGCCCGAGGAACTGCGGATTTAAAATGTGCTACCGTGCGGCATATAGGTGATGCAAATAGTCTGTGATTTCTACTACGCCTGTAGATATTGGGTACGTTTGTACCTATCGTAACTAATCTGCGTTAATCTCGGAAGCTTCAGTATTCCCTAATAAAACTTTGCCCACTATGTATATACAGGCTATAAAGCCTGGGTCATTAGCTCTCTTGCTGTCACCTCCATTTATTACGTGTTTCTTTTAACAGTTGTCTTTGGGCGGCGATAGTCACTTACCATCAGACAACCCTTCTGTTCATTTGCTCTTTCTACTATAAATAGTTTTCTATTAAAAAGAATAACTATGACAAACTAGAAGAAAATAGAAGTTGAGCCATGTCGTAGTGGACTTTTGGACCTTTGGGGTCGGCTTAAGGCTAATATGGCTGAACTTCTATTTTTTGCGCTCAGAGACCACCATCAGCCGTCCACAACCCAAATACTAGGCAATATCGATGTTCTGCAGAAAGACTGTAGTCGGACTTTTTAGGGCTCCTGACTGACTGACTGACAAAAATGGTCGTATGGCAACCGGGACCGACGGCTAAACATGCCCTTCGAGGCTTGGTCTCAATGTGTTATGAATGGTCATCCATCCGTAAACTGACATGGCTAGGATTGCTTAACTTTGCATTGTGTTAACCTGTTCGGTTACCGTGAATGGATAAAGTTCTGAGGTAACAAAAAAAAAATACAATCAAACTAAGAACTGCCTACTTTTTTTAAAAGTCGGCTACCCATGAAAATATCGTCGTACTAAAACCTCCTTTTTACTTCAAATCGGTCTTTCGTCCAATAATTTTCTAGTTGCATAATAACCGGTTATTATAGCAGGTAAATTCCATGTTGTACAACACCAATACAAAATTATTTAGGTAATGACAGAGACTTTATAGCGAATTAAACTGGTACAGATCAGACACACAATACAACACTGTTCAATACTTCAGTTGTATAAGTATAGGATGGTATAATAACTTAATTGATACAGTATTTTATTAATTGTAGTGTCAATTTGTTTTTCAATTTGTCATAGATTGCAAACATTTTGTTTCACTTTGTATAGTTAGAGATTACATTACTACGAAAACAAATATTTAACAGAACATGATTTTATTCAATTTATTCTTTATACGAAGGATTACAAGCTGAGAGTCATACATCCATAAACCAAACCCAAGTATCCAGAAATATCTAGAACGCTATAAAAATCACTTTTAATGTCCATTAACTTAACAAACATCCGCGATATAGGTCTCAAATTTCTATAAAAACTTACAAGTGCATAATATGCTAGGCAAAAAATTTGGGCATGATATTGCTTTTATGATTACTTCATAACAGCATAAATAGATTTTGATTGAACAAAAACGTGCTTTTTAGTTATATGTCTCTAAATAGCATTTTTTTGCTCACTTAGCCACTAAACTACTAGAATTAAAAAGTCAAATTCAACATTTTATAATTCTGGTTCAACTTTCGAAATTTTCAGTAATTATGGAGTATTGACTGTTTACTCTAATGGTTTTGTGCATTTTTACATACAAAGCCACCTCAAAAGCCGACAGCACATTTGTGACTCTTTATATTATTTTGATGTTGATAAGTGATCAGGACCTTTTCATATCATTAGCATATCATTTAGTTAAAAGAATAATGCGAATTTAACCCTAAATTAAGCCAAGGCGAGGACAGAGGTATACAGATCAGTAAAAATATTATAAATAACAGGTATAATGACTCCAAATGATGTTCTTGAGACTGCAGATTATCTCATTTCAAATGCAAAACTTGATAATTTACCTAAACACCCAAACAGTCACACTTCGTTGAATCACCAAATTGTTGTCAACACCTGAATGACGCAATAAAAAACAATGAAAATATCCAGTATTGTTTTATTAACTGTCCTTATCGTTGTCAAACACAACGTTCAAACATCAGGAATGATGATGGGGCTCTTTGTTAAAAATATCAACGCATCTCTGAGGTTCTGTTTGAGCGTTTTAAAGTTTGTTGGGTTCTTAAAGCCGATTGAGCCCGTTAGTTTTTATGGGAAAGTCTTTTATAACATCTATTGGTTTTCGTGGTTCATGTTTCTTGCTGGTGAGGTTCTTATTTTTTTGTAATTTAGTTTGATAGAAAGAGATTTACACTTGGGAGTATGGGCCGCGGCTGGCTCTACCGGAATGATACCACCGCTCCACAGACCAACCTGGTGTTAAGCTATTCTTTTGTTGCTTTCACCGAGTTAGTGAAGTTAATTTGAGCGACACTGCGCGTCCCTGCACAGTGCGGCACAATACTCATATAGTGCAATATTTTTTCTGTCATTTTGTATTGTGCGTCGCTGCGTGTCGCAGCACAGTTCCTCCGGGAGAATATTTTGACGCGCAGCGCCGCTAAAACGCGGTCCAACCTTTAACGTATTAATATATATTAAGTATACCTTCGATAGAAGTCACAATCCACTTTGCGGAGACCTGTGGAATTAAGTAAGGAAATAGTATAAACTTCCACTTCAGGTGGCATCATCATCGCCCAAAGTGGTGCGATGTTTCAGATATGGGGCGATCTCACTCTGATGACAAGCGCTTCTTTTCTTCTCTTCACCAACTTAGCATTTGCCACTAAAGCGATTAATGTGGTGATGAAGAGACGAGCCATACAGGAGATTATTAATACATCTGATGATGAATTAACTGCTGAAGATAGGATGGACGGAATTGAAATCGTTAAGAGGTTTGATTTTCTGATTGAATTTTTGTCTTGTATTTCTAGGGTGAGTACTGACTCATTCTAACCTCTTTGCCCGGTTTCCAAAACCCAGAACTGCCTTTTAGGATATCCTAAAAGGTTCCAGTTCCAGTAATTTTTGAACCTTCATTAATTTTGTTACACAGGCATTATCTCAAAAGTTAAAATTCTTAAAAGTTACGATTAATATATTTTTTTATTTTCTCAATTTCAACTTAAAGTTAGCGTTTTGTTTCTTCCATTCTACATTATCATTTAATATTTCGATGCGTACTCCACTTCTAACCATTTATTATTTAACAAGATTAATCCACATCCTTGTTCTTTCTCTAATTTAGTAACCGATCTCTCATACATAAACTCTGCCCCATATTCCGCTCTTCCCTTGTATCACACGTGAATATCACAGCTATATATCGCTGTTTAACATTTTATTCACTGCTCAAAGAATTTATTTTTAAAGTATTTCTCAGCTACAGGCATACCTGAGATACGCATTCATTTCCTTCTTCCCTTTGTTCCATACTTTAAGGTATGCTCTACTTAGATATGTTTTCATTTCTAACTGTATTTTTTATTATTATTTAGGTGTAATCGCGAGACAACCAGAAGTTTATGTGTTTACATATGGTTATCCGGTGTAACAGTTTTTGGGTGGGCTTGCAGCGCTGAGAAAAATCAACTACCGCTTAGAGCTTGGTAAACGAGAATTGTTTTTTTGTGTATTACTACGGATCTACCTCGCTTTAGTTCTTGAAAGAAATCATGGAAGTAATGTTGTGGGCGAATTATATTAAATGCAACGTCTCATAAATTAAACACTATGATTTAAATCAATATCATCATCATCATCAACAACCTCAAAAGGTCCACTGTTTGACAGAGGCCGCTCCTTAAAAAGGAGGTTTTGGCCTACTATACCACGCTGGCTAGACGGATTGGTATAGGGTTCGTGTCAAGTTTGCCTTCTCTCTGCAGTGGTGTTGTCCTGCGAGGTTGCTTCCTTAGTCGGCTGTTACGACACCCACGGGATAATTAGGGGTGGTGACACTCTGTATTCTTAATCCGTCACCACACATAAATTATTAGAAACAAGATTTTAATTTTCTATACTTAATTTGCTAACTTTGCAAACATGCTCGAAAAAAAACGAAACAGTACTTTTGTTTTTTTTTTAATTACCGATGTCGAGGTCTGCGATGTTAAAATTTAAGAGACTATTTGCGAGAAAAAAAATGAATATAAAATTAAGTTAAATTTACAGATGAGGACATTGTAAGTTTAGCTTACAATGGGGATGCCATGCCCTTAGGGGTGACCAAGCTCCTAAATAAAAAAGATAAAAAAACACAGAAAGAGAAAAATATTTTAAAAACCATATAAAAGATAATATATTGGTGTAGATCTCTTTTACATAATTTTCTTCGTTTTGTAAATTGTAGTTGCTGAGATATGCACAGAGATTGTTAATAGTGGAATAAATGTTGCTTTTCTCTTTGTAGGTATCCATATGACACTTCAAAGTCACCAGCTTATGAGGTTACCTATGTTAATCAGGTAAATAGAAAATATTCTTAAAGGGTGTACCTTTAAGAAAGGTTCTTAAAGTAAAGGTACTTTGGCTAAAAAAGTAGTGGAGAGGTACGCAGAGCGGTCAGATCAACAATGTGTTTCAAGAAACCTATAGCTTTGAATTTAGGGTCAAATTATGTTTGTTTCAATCAACGGTAACTTTGATCTCTTGAATTCTATGGTTTGAGGAAATATTTGTTTCTGGCGTAACCAAAGTCGATTGTATCTGATATCAGAGGATAGTTAATTCAAATTTAAGTAAGTTTCGAAGTAAACCTATAGTTCTCCAAAATTAGAGCTTATACACGATCACATTTTTCGAACATAGGCCTTTAACAGAACGTAATATAATTGTCATCGATTCCAGTGATAGGAGCAACTATCCAACAACTCACACAAATCATTTTTTTGAGCATCACATCACATCATCATCATCATCAGCCTTTAATAGTCCACTGCTGGACATAGGCCTCTCCTTAGAAAGAAGGTTTTGGGCTACTATACCACGCTGGCCAGACGGGTTGGTATAAGGTTTGTGTCAAGTTTTGCAGTGCTGTTGTCCTGCGTGGTTTGTTCCCTTAGTCGGCTCTGGCGAAACCCACGGGATGAACAGGGGTGGCGACACTCCATATTCCTAATCCGTCACCACACGGACTTGAGCTTAGAATTTTGTAATTCAGTAGATGCACATTAGGAATATGGGACATAATCGGTTACACAACAGCTGTCTCTCTGTAAACATACACGCCATTTAAATTTTATAAAAGACTTCCAATTCCAGAGTTCAGCACTTATGATATCGGCGTTGGTCAATGTGTGTTTAGACACTATGGTAACGTCCCTGATAGCTGTCTGCTGTTGTCGTTTACGGCTTGTGGCCCTGTCGCTTAGAACATTGTGTTCATCACTAGAACCCTCTAAAAAGGTAAGCGATTAGATGGAAACATTTACGATAATTTAAAAACTAAGGAATTTTTTTGAGTTATTACTGCGCTTGTTATTTTACTATTCTGATCAGATAAAATATATCTAAATACAATATATATATATATATATATATATATATATATATATATATATATATATATATATATATATATATATGTAAATAATATACAAGATACATGATCAAATTTATAATTTTATTATTTTTTATGTTTAATGTAAAAATAATAAATATACAATATAATATTTTCGAAAAAATAAATAATTAAATTGTTTTTTCGAAAATATTATATATGCCGCTCACTACTGCGCTCAGTGTTCTGGGTCCGATCCCCACATGGGGATCCTTTTTGTGATCCACAAATTGTTGTTCCAAGTCTGGGTGTTCTTTGTGTCCGTTTCATGTATGTTTGTAAAGTCCACCTCGACCCAGGACATATTCCTTTAGCCCTAGTTGCCTAGTTGTCTTTTATATATGTATATATATATATATATATATGTGTAGCACATTATATGTAAAGCATTATTGCGACACAATCAAGATTATTACATGGGACGGCAATGCTAGGTCACTATTTTGTTTCTTTGCTGGCAGTTAATGTTGTGCAAGGAAGATGAAACAGTCCAGGAACGTATAAAACAATGCGTTGTCAAGCATCAAGCAGCACTGAAGACTGCAGCACAAATACAGACTTGCTTCACCAAGCCGATTCTGGCACAGTTTTCGGTGTCAGTTGTCATTATTTGTGTAACAGCTTACCAACTGGCTCTTGTGAGTATAAATTCCTGTCTCTATGTTTTTCTTTCCTCTTAAAATTTTACAATATTGTGTCGGCAATCACATACACATGGTCCGTGTGGTGACGGATTAAGAATACAGAATGTCACCACCCCTATTCATCCCGTGGGTGTCGTAAGAGCCGACTAAGGGAGAAAACTACGCAGAACAACAGCACTTCAGGGAGAAGGAAAACTCTACACACACCCTATACCAGCTTATAGTAAACCAAAACCTCCTTTCTAAGGAGAGGCCTATGTCCAGCAGTGGACTATTAAAGGCTGTTGATGATGATGATGATGATGATGATGAATCACATACTAATGAAGAACTTTTACTTTACCTCATCATTAAATATGTATCTAATTAGTTTGGCCAATTGCTTTCTCGGTTTTAGTGGTCTATTCCCTCCCACACGCCCACCACTGTACACCAGGATCAACAGCAGTGACCCACAAACACACCGAGTTATGACACTCGGGAAGTCCCAGGAAAAAATTAAACTGTCTTGAAACCCGCAACGGAATTAATCAGAAGAAAATCGGAGGAGTTGGAAATACAGTAAGTCCACTTCCCTCCTTAGCAAAGCGGGACAAAAAATGAAGTAAATTAGGCATACATCCTTTTAAACAGGGAAGCACCACGGCCACAAAATATTATGGGTCATAAGTGAGCTATATTAGATTTCTAAAATATGTATGACAGAATCGTCTAAACGCACGGAAATTAACCTTAGTTGACACAAGATCCCCATAGTATACCGCCCCAGATGTCACCTGCACGTTATTCAGCATTATATTACGTTCATTATACCAAAGACTACATTCCATTCCATACAGGATATGATGAGCAGATTGTTCACAGTTAGAGTTAGGTAGGAGTTAGATTTTAGTGGTCTCTTTAATTATAGGACGGGAATACGTGTATGCAGTATACTTACATCGATTTACTGCAGTCTCCGTCCCGTTTCCTATCCGACCCTCCCACACCCTTTTTTTTTTGGTTGACACGGTGGAAAATTCCTTCGGATTTCCGCCTTAGCACGCAGAAGCTAGGAACCAGATGCTGACCACGATCCTCAGTCAAGAGTGAACGACCTGAGACAGAGATGATAACAGGGTTAAACGAGCAGACGGGTCGCCAGATGGTAAATAATTTTTGCCTCTCATGCAAATGTGTGTGTGCTTCCTAAGAATGAGGGTAGGAGAAGGTTGGATCTTCGTTACCCTCACTCACTCCGTGAAATGCAACGAAGGATTGTTTAACACCGGTTTTCTGTGACGCCGTGGTACCGCTGCAGTCAAGTCGGCCAAAATGTGCAGTGATTTAATAAAGCTTCATCAACAGCCTTTAATAGTCCACTGCTGGACATAGGCCTCTCCTTATAAAGGTGGTTTTGGCCTACTATACCACGCTGGCCAGAAGGGGTGGTATTGGGTTTGTGTCAGGTTTTCCTTCTCTTTGCAGTGCTGTTGTTCTGCGTATTTTTCTCCCTTAGCCGCCTCTTACGACACCTACGGGATGACACTCTGTATTCTTAATCCGTCACCACACGGATAGGATAGAAAGCTTAGTTCATACAATTTTTATCACTATTTACATTTGACGACGTATTTATTTACACCAATTTTAGTTGTAAAGTTAATCACTAAAGCGTTTTCAGGAGTTAAAAAACAAAAACTGGGTTCGAATAATCTCCATGGTGGCTTATCTTCTCTGTATGATGCTGCAAGTGTTCTTGTACTGTTATCAAGGAAATCAACTTTCTGAGGAGGTAATTGAGAGGAAATTTTGAGAACATTTTTTCTCTAAAATTCATATTTGTCTTCATAGTCTAGTGGTTAGTAATCCAGACTGCTGAGCCAAAGGTCGTGGATTCGATTCCCACTCAGGACAAATAATTGTCTGATGAGCCAGATTGTTTATTCTGTATCTGTGTGTAATTTATCTATACTCGTAATATGTATGTATTTAGAAATATATAAATATGTTTACCAGCAGTCTGGTTACCATGGCAGGCTCTGCCTACTTTCAGACGGAGACGGTTTCTTGGATCAGACGGCCGCGTGTATGTTGTCTCAGGTTATTATTATTATATAGTTTCATGTATGTTTGTAAAGTCCCCCGAGACACAGGATATATTCCTAATGCGGGAGTGCGAGAGTTGTCTTTAAAAAAAAAAAACAAAAAAAAAACAAACATTGCACACATTTGAAACAAAAAGTAACTACACAGAGTTTCAAACCCCTTTCGGTTGGTAGCGTAGTCTGTTTTTAAAATAAACAATTTAAATTTACGAGTTAAACAGAACGATATTTTTTGTATGTTTTAAAAAATCCAGAACATAGTAAATTAGAATTATAATTCGATTAGACTTTATACATATGGGCGGGACTGTACGAAATAATTATGCATCAGTAGAGCTATCTGATATACGTAATCATTATGCGCATGCGACTCTGTAAAACTTTTTATAGCATACTGTAAGTTACATGACACCGTTTATTTTTGGTACCTTGGTAAATGATTATAATTTCGTCCAATTTAAGGGAACTTAATTCTGTACTTCGCTTTTCCTGTGTTTTTATTCCAATAAACAGGAACTTAAATGAATGTTCATTCCACTGTCGTATAATTTTTAAAAAGAAAAGTCATGAAGTATACTTCAAATCAGTTTGAATTTGGATTTTTGAAAGATGTAATTTAAGATTGGATCTTCATACTAGAAAACTTGTATGTACAAAATGTTAGCAGACGCGAGAAATCTGGCAGATATGAAACATCGAAATTATTTAGTAGAAATAAGAAGCAGAGTATTTAAGCTTTCTGAAACAAATTATGATTTTTAGGGCTGGACAAGATATAGAAAGGGACAGTTAAGGACGCCGCCAATACTTAATTTCTTAAATAATTCTTTTATTTTTAATTTTTAGAGTTGTAAGATAGCAGGCGCAGCCTATTGGTGTCCGTGGTACTTGTGCTCGGTGAGACTGCGCCGCGAGTTGCTGATCGTCATGCAGCGCACGCGCCACGTCACCAAACTTACTGCTGGAGGATTTACAACATTATCACTTGATTGCTTTACTTCTGTAAGTTTTTTTGAAGTGAAAACTTCTTTAGCGGCGTTGTACACTTTTTTTGTAATGGGTAAAAAATGTTAAACTCGCGTCAGGACACGTGACCTGATCGAAAATTCGTAAGACGGTGGAGAGTAGACAGCCGGCGTGGCGTAGGAGAGGAAGTATTATCCTCTCTTTCTACGGCGCGGCGAAAATGTATGCCTGCGCCTGCTGTTTTGTTTAGGCGGCGCAGCGCACTTGCGCGAATGTTCGTGTGTGTTTGTTACAGCGTGCCACGTGCATCAATCGATGGTGACAGCGTCTCGATAAATTGTCATGTTTGTGTACGATAGCGCAATAAATAAATATTGTATTCTACCACATAAATGATAGTACTTTTATACTGATAATTAAAGCAATTCGTGCAAAATTATTCCCTAACCATTCCAAAATAACAAAAATGCACAACGTTAATGTTCAATTTTTACTTCTGCCGGCACTCCCGGAGTGCAACCCGTCGTTTTTTTTTTATTTTTGTCACGGCAATACGGAATGGAATCGCTGCTCTAAGTGGATTAGTAGTTTTTGAAATATATTTAAAGCCACATGAAATGTATTGCCTTCTATACTAATAACAAGGTTGCATATGCAACAACCATGCACCATCATCATCATCAACAGCCTTTAATAGTCCACTGCTGGAAATAGGCCTCTCCTTAGAAAGAAGAACAACCATGAAACCGCAACTTTACTCTTTCAATGGTTTTCACCGAACGAGTCAGGTTACTAGAGCCCCCACTGGATTTGCCCAGACTCAATGACCTGATTGGACATGGACTGGACATCTACAACTCAAGAGACTCAATATAATTGTCTCTCTTGAGTTGTAGATGTCCATTTGCGTGGTTGTCATTTATCATCAAGTGATCCTTCTGCTCATCTGCCCTCCCCTACACCCTGTCTGGTGAGTGATTGGCCATTAAAGTAGCTAACAAAATCCCTTTGAGATTTGAAGATGAAAACGATGTGTGACTGAAAAAAAAACACTAATGATTTGTTTTATTCCAGATAATAAAAGCTTCTTATACTTTCTTTACTGTACTGAAACAAGTGGAAGATAGAAATGAAAAGTAATTGTCAACGGACGAAATAAAAGATTAGTAAAATTTATCTCATTAGCTTAAATGATACACCTGTCACACAAGCTCTGCATCACCCAAAAAATGCCAAACTTATGCAATGTTTTTGGAGGAGTTTAAAATAAAATAATTGAATAAATAAATATGTAGTTCATGCAAAACGTATTTTTATTTTATTGAGGGTATTTACGAACGACTGACTAAAAAGATGCAATTCAAAGGGTGAAATTTTATACTTATCCCTAGCAACACTCTGATTTTTGTTTTCAATAAAAACAAGTTTTTATTTTAAAGAAAAAGGTTTTGACTTTTTAAAAAAAAAAGGTGTGTGTGCAATTCACACACGACAGAAGTGAAACTTCAAAGAGGAGAGACCGATATTAATTTTTTTTTTTTTTTTCCTTTCATCTAGGTTTTTAAAACTCCGGTGGATCTACGGGGGGGTCAAAATTTTTGTTATTTTTGACCTTTCCAAGATATTTCAATCTAAAGCAAAAAATCGTCACTTGATACTGGAAAGTGGAAACACGCACAAAACCAGAATAAACCAGTTTACGCTGTCCGCTACCATACACTACTACAAACGCAAAAAAATCTCCAAGCTAATTTACCTGTACTTGTACTTGTACTATAGTAAAACTAGTGTCCGTGTGGTGACCGATTAAGAATAATGACGTAAGAGCTGACCAAGGGAGCAGATTACGCAGGACAACAGCACTCCAAAGGGAAAGAAACAAACCCTACACCAACTAGTCTGGTCAGCGTGGTAGTAGGCCAAACCTCTGTTCTAAAAAGAGGCCCATGTCCAGCAGTGGACTATTAAAGGATCTAATAAATAAAATAAAAATTATGACTAATAACTAAATAACTAAAAATAATAAAATAATAATTATGACAATGTAAACAAATTTTAGGATTTGTTGAATTGACAGAAAATAAGTGTTAAAAGGTAAAAAAAATTGAAGAAGTTGTTACATAAAAAATATATTTACATGCCTATAACAACTTGCACATAGAATGAAGAAACATGCTCCAGCACCACCTATCGAAGATACACCGAACTATGGGGTCTACCAATAAGAACGTCCTGGTTTAAAAATTGAATAAAACCCAATTTTTTTTATGAAAAATGCATCCGATTGATTTATTTGATAGACAATTTTATGCAATTTATGTTTTAAATAATATATCGGCCAAATGACCGCCATGGCTCTTTTTGCAGATGGTCACCCGCTCACGTCAATTTTCGATGTCGCGGTGCACCATTTCGGCCGGTATGTCGGCTATGGCTCGTCGAATGTTGGTTTTTAGGTCACGAATTGTAGCTGGATTATTTCTGTACACTTTAGATTTTAACGTAACCCCAAAGAAAATAATCTAAAGATGTTAAATCACACGATCTTGGTTGCCAACTGATCGGTCCATTTCTCGAAATTAACGACTCACCAAACTTTCCACGCAATAATTCCATGTTCACTCGAGTAATGTAAGGTGGTGCACCGTCTTGTTGAAAATAAAGGTCGTCTGCATCAATATCATCAAATTCCGGAAAGAAATATTCGGTTAACATCGAGTTATAGCGCTCGCCATTCACAGTAAGAGGGTTTCCTTCGACACTTTCAAAGAAGTATGGACCAATGATTCCACCGTACCATAAACCGCACCAAACTGTTATTTTTTGCGGATGCAATGGTGACTCATGAACCGCACGTGGATTTGACTCACTCCAATAACGACAATTTTGTTTATTAACAAATCCATTGAGCCATAAATGGGCCTCATCTGAGAAGATGATTTTACGATGAAAATCGTCATCGGCTTCCATCATTTCCAGTGCATAATCGGCAAATTCACGACAGATACAATGGTCGGATGGCTTCAATTCTTGTGCCAAAACAATTTTCTATGGGTGTAGGTCCAAATCCAACCGCAAAATACGCCAGGTGGTCATTGGAGAGATCCCCAACTCTTGTGAACGGCGTTGAACTGATCGATTTGAATTCGCATCAACACTGGCCTGAACGGCTGCGATATTCTCTTCACTACGGGCATTTCTTTGTCTCACAGGTACAGCAGTATCGTGGAGAGTGAATTCAATTTCAAATTTTGTTATTATGCGATTTATAGCGCGCACAGAAGGAGCACTATGACGACCGTTTTTTGCGCGAAGCGCTCTTACTGTAGCGGTAGGAGAACGTGAATTTGCGTAAAAATTTTGGTCAATTTCCAAGCGTTGGTTTAAAGTGAAACGTGACATGATAAAATGGCAAACCTTACTGAACACCAATGGCAAGAGACGTCAAAGATCCATCATCAAACATGGCCGCTATGAGCTGTCAAAACCAGGTCATCCCTATTGGTAGACCCAGTACTTAGTAACTGCTAATCCTGTATCACGGTATGAAGAATTCCCGCGCGGATAAGCATATGTATAACTGCCCAACATCAACCGTGCGTTGGCCGCGACCCGCCAGGCATGATCACCTCGCCTGGTCGGAGGATCCTCCCTTTATGTTGGAGTTACATGACACCCGACACTATGAAAATAGCTAAAATACCGCGTATGCTGCAGAGAAGAGTCTATTCGACAATCCATCAATGTGTGAACCGCACTACAATTTAGAGTCTAGAGTTATACCCAAAAACTAAGTGGTGTCCTCAAGATCCAACTCCTCTCCATTTATCAGAACAGTGGTTTATTTCTGCTTAACATTATGTGTAAAAAATCGAATACATCTCAGTTATTAACGTTGAACCAGTTCACGACCTTGGAAAGAGTGTTATTTACATCGTTAGTAACTGATTGCTGTCGTTTCAGTTTAAATAAAAGTGAACTGTCATCCGCAAATATCACTATCTCCTGATTATCTTTTATCAGATTAGGTAGGTCATTTATGTAAACGAGAAACAAAAATGGTCCGAGAATTGAACCCTGCGGAACCCCCATAGTGGCCAGAGACCCGAGGGACCTCTGTCCATTAACTTCCACTCCTATCCTATCACTCAAATAAGAGATAAGAAGATCCAAAGCAGTATTCCTTATTCCATAGTGATGCAATTTCGTGATCAACGTTTATGATGGGCTGTATATCATGTTCAACATCACCTAATGATCCCGTGGACATTATAGGCGTGGCGATAACGTGACTACTAATATTATATGTTTGATGCTGTCAATTGCATCTATTTCTGTAGATACAACAACAGATTAGATTCTAGATAACCGTTGACATCCTAAAGTGTTTTTCTAAGGGCGATTATGCAGTCATCATAAAAACTCTAATATGTTGCTGTCTCTAACTGAAGTGGAACGTTTAATAGTTTTTTTTTTATTAATGGTGTAGAGGCAAACATACGGATGAGTTGACTGATGGCATATGCACACCTGCAAGAGCATATGCACACTTGGTGGGGGTGGGCATTATCTGTGAGGCAGTAGTATGAGTCCAGTCGAGCCGTCCTATATGTGCATGGCTCTCCAACAATGAAATACAAAATTATAAATCCTGCAAAATGAGATACTGCAATTTATCCTATCATTAGTGAACAATTTAGGACCTACGGCACAGTATGCAGACTTCAAATTCAATTGCAACCACGTGACGGGGAAATTCTGCCATTTACTAAAGCTTTATTTACTAATTGACTCTATCAATAGGCGATATAAGTCCTTGTTTACTATTGTCAAGAGTGGTTTTTCCTTTGAACGAATGACTTACCTCAAACCTTGACTGACGTTTTCCTGTCACTTGATGCATTTAGGAAGTATGTGGGTCAGCTGCATGGCCACATGTACACTCTTATTAAAGAAAACTAAAGGTGCTTATCATATATTGCTTTGATCAAGAGTGGATCCCACGAACCCTGTCGTTATAATAGCATGTTTTACCGCCTTAAAAGCTGTCAAACTCAAAAAAGTTTTGAACACATTTTTTCCCGACTGCAACAGTAATAGGGTTATGATTTTTAAGTGTACTCGTATATTACTTTGGCCTCTGTTGCCTAAAAGGCTTGATGGTTTTTGGCTTGGAAGTAATTGTGAAAGTGACACTGTGTATATATATGAAATTATAAAAAATTAAAAAGTTTGGTTTGTTAATTTTAAGTATACCCACATTTTCAGTCAGGTTTTTTTTCAATAAAATTTGTTTTTCCATTGATATGTATTCTTAGCCAGTTTAACGAAGTCTATGAACTTCAAATTCTTATAATTTAATTGAAAATTATAATAACGCTGCAAGATATAATAATAATGTGCAGTAAAGGCCTGCCAATAATAGTTTGTTAGATGTAACAAAACATAATATGATGCTTAAATAGAAACAACTGCTATGTTTAACCAATGAGATAGCTGTACATTATAAAGTCACGTTCATAGTAATGGTTCGGTTTAAAGACATTTATTTCTCATAAAAAGAACAATACAGTTCACTTACATAATGAGAAAATGTAACAACACAATAAATTAGTTAAGTATCTCTGTGATCACAATACACTATTACAGTAATATAAAACTAAAGATATAAAGACAACTTCATTGGTGTCAGTACTTTTTCCTAAGGTCAGTGGTTCAAAAGAATAATAATACTGTCTACCTCAAAATCGTTTTGCATTCATAGACGACACACACAATACATACTTGAGAACATCGGAAACCCTAACGTTGACAGTAGCAAAACATATGACAAATCATTCTCAGTACAAACTGTACGGCTTTGGAATGCTTTCCCAGAAACTATGCGAGAGGCACAGTCACTAACTGTTTTTCATAAACTCTTCATCACTTATTCCTGTAATAACTATACATTCTGTATGGTTATTTTATATGTATATACGTATATGTATATATTACTAGGATATTAATTCAAAATATTTATCTTTGCTATTTTTTTTGTAGTTAAAACACTATGACTTACCTAAGTACTACTAAACAGTGAAGTCCATCATGGTTGTAAGAGATTGTAGATTGCGATCAGACCATTCATTGTACTGGTTCTTGGTTTTATTGTAAAATGTACAATTATCTATCTAGATATATAGCTAATCTGAGTATACAATTGAATAAAGTTAAATTATTAATTACCGATAATTAGACAGATGTAGAAGATATATCAAATGAACTAGATTAGTTACTTCTTTAAGCGTTCCTATGAAGTGTAAATTACATAATGTACACTTCATAGAAACGAATGAAAGGCAATGAAGTGTAAATCATCACAACACATCAACAGCCTTTAACAGTCCACTGCTGGACATAAGCCTCTCCTTAGAAAGGCGGTTTTGGCCTACTACATATATCACGCTGGCCAGACGGGTTGGTATAGGGTTTGTGTCAAGTTTTCCTTCTCTCTGCAGTCCTGTTGTTCTGAGTAGTTATTTCCCTTAATCGGCTCTTACGACACACTTGGTATTCTTAATGCATCACCACACGGATAAAGTGTAAATAGCTAATAAAATTTCATGTAAAAGTTTTAATAAAAACTGTTATTTTTATAATTTGGTTAAACCCATCAAGAAACGCGAAAATAATCGATTGGATCCAATCGATTTTAGTTATATCTTAAATAAAGCGATTGATGTTACTAACAGTTGTTATAAAATATTCGACGACGGCACCGTTATTTATATCTGGCGTGTCATTGGACATCATAAGGCCAGGGATACAGAAGAAAACTGGTATATACTGATTTTTAACAGACCAATAGTTGTGAGACCCCTAGTATACAATGTGCGTGCTTATACATTAAATATCACATCAACAGCCTTTAATCGTCCACTGCTGGACTTATGCCTCTCCTTAGAAAGGAGGTTTTGGCCTACTATACCACGCTGGCCAGACGGGTTGGTATAGGCACGGTACTATTATAATAATAATTATAATTGTACCGTGGTATAGGGTTTTTGCCAGGAGGGGTCCGGATGTCTTAATAACAGCTGTTCCCGGATTCCTCCTGTTACAGGCGCAGAGTGGCACACCGTGCGGTTTTAGTCGGTCCGAGTCCGACACACCACCCGGTGGGGTGACGGTCCGAGGGGATTTCCACAGGTTAAAAAAAAAAAAAAAAAAAAAAAAAAAAAAAAATGGGTTTTTGCCAAGTTTTCCTTCTCTTTGCAGTGCCGTAGTCCTGCGTTGTTTGCTCCCTTAGTCAGCTCTTACGACACCCACGGGATGAATAGGGATGGTGAGTATGGTGACACAATATACATTAATATGTAATTAAATAGTTATGTAAATATATATATATGTGAAATGAACTTAACATGACAAATAAAATGCTTTACCTTTCGTTCAAATGATCGATACATTACGTGTGCATGCCAAGTTGAGAAGCCCGAGTGATTCTATTACTATGTCGGCAGTCTTAAGTGAAGATCTAAGCTTTCAATCCAAAAGAAGTAGATAGAAGTAGATCTTTAGATGTACCGCCTTTGTCAGGCTTTCCTTCCAAACGGAAAAGAAATTGATCTAACTATGAAACACCTAATATTTATCCAAAACAGCAAAATTTAATGCACGAAGAGTACGGTATAGTTATTAGAAATTCCTTGAAAAACTGTTATATTTAGATATTGTTACTGTTTCTGCGTCCATTGTTCAGTGCAAAAAACGTAAAGCTAAAGGTTATTCACCTAAAGTGAATTTAATTACCCCGGTGTAAAAAATGCACACCACAAAACGATTAACGATTGACGTTAACAAGAAATTATAAGGTAAACATTTATACACAACACCGAAGCGGATTCTCCGCTTATTTACACAAGATTAATAAACTATTGATTATATCTTAAAAACGAAATAAAAACTTGCATTTTTTTATTTTTTTTAACGTCATAAAAGAGAATTAATTATTTATGACTATACCATTCACTATTCAACAAACTGATTCTTATAGAGACTACTTACAAGAAAAAAATGACTGCAAAAAAAACAAAATATTCAAAGTACGTATATAATTATGTACAGGTGCGAATAGGAAACCACAAGCACAAAACGACTCATTTCTATAGTGTTGATTTCAGTATAAGCGTTAGACTGAAATGATTTAAAATCACTCACTAGATTTAGCGAATGTGGGATTAGGAGTATTTATAGCTTTTAATACTACGTTGCTTGACTTTGTTTACAGATCATCATAAAGCTTGAAATTGTCCCATCTAAGCAATTAGTAACCTTAACTTTCTATACATGTGGTTGTAAACATAGTACGTAGATCAGGAGTGCCACAGTGTACAATACTGGGCCCTATACCGTTCCGTCTGTACTCATCACTGACGTAACAGTCATTGCCAATTGAATTTACATAAACGCAGTCTTCCTTTTCTATCTCTATAAAGATGTATCAACATAGTAGTGAGATTAAGGCAAGATAGATTTTCAAGATTAATTTTCAAATAGTTCCAAGTAAAATTAAAAACTATATCGGTATTTATTAGTTTATAATCCGTTAGTCTCTAAATATAGACTAACGGAATTAAATGATTTAGATTTTCTATGTTATCAAAGAAAAGAGGATAGTAATCTATACTAATATTATAAAGCTAAAGAGTTTGTTTGTTTGTTTGTTTGTTTGTTTGTTTGAACGCGCTAATCTCAGGAACTACTGGTTCGATTTGAAAAAATCTTTCAGTGTTAGATAGCCCATTTATCGATGAAGGCTATAGGCTATATATCATCACGCTAAGACCAATAGGAGCGGAGCACCAATGAAGAATGTTTCAAAAACGGAGAAAATTTATTACTATTGAGAGACGCAGACGAAGTTGCGCGGGTCAGCTAGTCTTTTATAAAAAAATAAACTAACGAATAGAATTTCATAAATTGTTCATTCTAATTTAGATGTTTGAATTTACGTAGTTGGAGTAAATCTACTAACACACGGTAATTATCTACAATTATACCGCTTTTGTTTTTATTTAAAATATAATTAATACACTGGCTGTTTTTTAATTCAAATAGCTGTCATGCACGTTTGTAGTAACGTCATTCATAACATGAATACAAATAACAAACCTACTATACTCTTTCGTCATTTAATTTTGACATTTAGTTGACGTTTATTTGACATTAGACCTAGTATTTGTAATAAAAAAATAATTTTTAATAATTACAAGCAACGTTCTTTTTCCGTTACTTAATTACTTATTTTTATAACATAAAGTATACCTTTTTATAATTTCAAAGTAACTCTACCTAAGAAGTTTTACCAACAGCTTTGTTTGGCGTTCTGAACGCACCTTTGCAAATTCAACGCTTATAAGATAGTGGGGGTAATAAAGTAGTAAATACGAGAATCACAATTCAGTACCAACTTCAAATCTAAGTACAATCGAAGTCGTTATTAGAAATGTTGAAACTCAGTATCATTTCGAAGCTTATAATATATTTATTAGTGGGTTTAGTTCAAGTGCGAGGTTGCTATTGGAACAGCAGGTGTTCGTATGAATTATTCGGGTCGAAGACACCTTATGATACCGTTAGAGGAGATATTAGAGATTATCCTGTACCAGAAAGTAAGTGATTTATACGTAAATATGTTTAATTATAAATAAGAGGTTTTAATGTTGACAAATTAATTTACTTTAATAAGTTCGACGAGGTTGAACGTGGTGAAAATACATATATATAAATTATGTTAGTGTCTGTTTTATATTTTATTCTCTTCTATTTTTTTAAATATTATCGATAGGGATTAAACTGTTTTTCTTAATTAACCAGAAGGGTAAAAAAATAATTATAGCAACCATCGACATTTCTAAATTTTTTTAAATATTTGTAGTTCTTTTTCAATTCGAATGAATTTTTTTGACGATTCAACAAAGATTTGACTGCAGAGATGGCGTAGTGGTTTAAGCGGTCACATCGCAGCTTCCTACTGTACCGAGTGTTGTGGGTTCAATCCTCACATGGGACAACACTTTGTGTGATCCCCATTTTTTGTTCTGAGTCTGTGTTCTTGATGACCGTTTAATGTATTTTTATAAAGTCCCCCGCGACAAAGGAAATATAATACTCGTGCGGGATTTGTCTTTTCAACAAAAGAAGATCGCTATTCATAGCTTCTATGATTAATAGTAGATGAGGTTATGGGTCATGTCAAAATTGAATGTCAGTAGAAAGAATATAAACAGGTACGTAGATACGGAGTTGCCCACACATTCTCATGATCTGATTATGTTATTATTATGTGTGTACGCTATTGCGAGCCGTGACATCACTCTATATACACAATTTGGGCAACAAATTACATAAAGGAGTGGTAATGCTTTATGGTTTTTTAATATACAGGGCGTTACGAAAAAGTGTTTTCATATTATCAACTGTATATTTCAACACAAGGTGATAATTTTTTTATAATTTAAATGTATTCAAATGCTGATATTTACGAACAAACGTAATGTCATCTTAAGTAATGAACACAATATTGTCGCGTCCCCGCGCCCGTTCCAGAGCTGTCCATGATACCATCAGCGTGTTTCCCTGAATTGCGAGGGACGAATTTTAAAATTGATAAATTGGATTTGGAAATCCACAGATAAAAAATAAACGTGACGCTTTTATTACTTTTCTTGTAACTATGCAAACAAAACGAAGAACTCATCTTTTCTTTTCTTTCTTTTTTAAAAAGACAACTCCCGCATTAGGAATATATCCTGTGTCGCGGGGGACTTTACAAACATACATGAAACGGACACAAAGAACATCCAAACTCAGAACAACAATTTGTGGATCACACAAAGTGTTGCCCAATGTGGGGATCGGACCCACAACATTCAGCGTAGTAGTGAGCGGCGTGGCGACCGCTTAAACCACTACGCCATCCGTGCACTCAATTATCATCCGCCATCCACTGCTGGACATACGCCTTTCTCAAAGTGCATAGTAGCATTCGTTCCTCCCTTTGCACCCTATTCATCACAGGTACCTCAATACTAGACAATATTTTTTTACTGGGACTCTTTTTGGTTTCAGAAATCTTTGATCTCATAAGAATTTGTACATTCACTTACATGAAAACTTATACACTAATAACTATAAAATATTCCGACGAGCATGCATGGGTAACAAATAAATATTACGTAACAATAAAGGTCTAAATGTACGTGAAGTAACAAAAAACTTTAAAATACATACCTTTTACCAATTTTAACAACACAATCCTCAAACAGTATCAAAGCAAACAAAATTTATTAAAAATATGTGGTTAATAACCTTACATTTAACAAATTTAAATAAAGACGTCGACGAACATAGACAGTTTCTACTGACTTAAATTTTATTAACCCAAACAGGAACAAAATATTTTAATCCTACCTACATTAGGCCAAATGTAATGCACACATAACATAGATAGTGAAACACTAAATGTTGACTAACAAATTCAGCTGAGCGTTGTACATATTTAGTAAATGATTCATTTAATTGTTAATTTACGTATTTATAAATATGAAAAAAGGTTACTTTAAAATTGGTATATTTATACTCGTACATAGTTTTTTTCGTTTAGCAAGTGTGTGTAATTTATCTTATATTGTATTTAAATAGCTTATTTGATATTCATCATTAATATTTCATCTAGATCCGCTTAGTCAGTTAGAACAAACATACTTCGTCAAAATATCGTCCGTGTGGTGACGGATTAAGAATACAGAGTGTCACCAACCCTATTCAATTCGTTGTTGTCGTAAGAACTGACAAAGGGCAAGCTATGCAGGACAACAGCACTGCAAAAAGGAGGAAAACTTGAACTATACCAACCCATCTGGCCAGCGTGGTATAGTAAACCAAAACCTCCTTTCCTAGAAGAGGCCTATGTAAAACAGTTGACTATTAAAGGCTGTTGATGATGATAATGATGATGAACAAACATAGGTGACCCAGGTGCTCGTCTGCCCCCTCTAACATAAAAAAAATACATCCATGTAAACTTTTGCATTTATGATTATATTAAGATTATATTAAATATCTGCACTGAGGTGGAAAAGAAACCGCAGTTTCTGACGTTCGTTTAGAACTGACTGCTATACCACCACTACACATAAGTCATCAGTATAAATCACCAAAAGTATTAGCCTTTAGATTCATCAAATAAAAACCACTTGACGGTGTCATTTAACAGATAACGGTAGCATTGAAGTTTATCAAAACTGTTTTAGAGTTAAGAGATAAAAATAATAAGAGATAAATATGATCGCAGATTTACTTTTATGACTAATATATCATCGAGTAATACGTGTCCTCTAGTTGGTATGACCATAAGATAATGATAACTAAGTATAACACAAGGGCGGAGAGCTCAGCGCTTAGGTGCTTACGTCATCGCTGCCCCATTTTATTTTCTGTGCGGAAATGTCGGACTCGGCCCGTCTATAAACCTGTGGGGGTATGTGACTATCCCCCGCATAAATAGTAATAATCAACAACTCCGTAAAAATCATATATTTTTCACATACATAACGTAATAGCTAGTAGACAAAATCTTTTCTAATAATTTTTCAAACAACCTATGGCAACCGTCAGAGCCTGCGCGCGCCTGCGCGGTTTCATGCGCAGAGGAACTAACTGTCGTATGTCACCACAGTACTCCCCCGGGGAGACCGGGACTACGGGCGATAGAAGTTGGGAAAACGCACCCTTCTGCCACTGGTTGTCTTCTTGATATCCTCATAAGGAGATTGGGCTTCATTAGTTGATTGGTTGGCAGCGGAGAGCGGCACCTTGGCTTAACAGTCACAATGAAGGACAGAAAAGTGAAGGAAGACAACCAGTGAAGTGAGTTTATGTGACGTCTACGCACCCTTCTGCCACTGGTTGTCTTCTTGATATCCTCATAAGGAGATTGGGCTTCATTAGTTGATTGGTTGGCAGCGGAGAGCGGCACCTTGGCTTCATATGCTGGTTTGAGCCTGTCGATAGAAACATTCACGTTCTTGGCATTGATGTTTAAGGTGAAGTACTTCGGTTGGTTGGTGACCCCGACGTGATCGCGGTGATCACGCTACACCCGCGATTCTGCGTTTTTCGGTCGTCGTGTCAGCTGAGCCCCGACTTCAAGTAACGGAGAGCAAGCAATTGGCGAAGTTAGTAAGAGAATCGTGTTTGTTTACGCGATAAAGGAAGGTTGGTGCATGTACCAAGCGGTGAGCGAGTTTATATTGTTTTAAAATGTCTGAGTCAGACGAGTACGCCGAGGCTGTGACTCCTCGTGTCCTCAGAGTTGGCGTTAGAATACCGCCATTTTGGCCAGAAGAACCCGGTCTGTGGTTCGCACAGGTAGAAAGTCAGTTTAAGCTGTCTGGAATAACAACTGACGATACAAGATTTTGTTATCTGGTTGCTCAGTTAGACCACCGCTACGCTGCTGAAGTGAAGGACATTATCACAAACCCACCAGACAAAAACAAATATGAGAAACTTAAATCTGAGCTCATTAAGCGTTTGTCAGCTTCTCAAGAAAAACGAGTTAAACAGTTATTGATGCATGAGGAGTTAGGCGACAGGAAGCCCTCCCAGTTTCTAAGACATTTATCGAGTTTGGCCGGTCCTTCCATTCCCTCTAATTTTGTATTAACTCTGTGGTCTAGCAGGTTGCCGCAGAACATCCAGACGGTAATCGCATCTCAAATGGATCTCGATAAGGACAAACTTGGTGAACTAGCAGATAAAGTCTACGAGATCGCACCGCCAACACCACAAGTTGCAAGCACTTTCTCTTCACAATCGTCGTGTAATGGTGACATGGCTCAACAGATCGCGGAATTGACCAAGCAAGTGGCTTTATTGACTAGTAGACTAGGACGTTCAGAAAAATCACGCTCTAGATCTCGTTCTAATATACAAAATCGCTCACGCAGCCGTCCCCGACCGAAGCAACCTCCTGCGAATCACCCGCATTGCTTTTATCATTTTATCTACGGGGCAGATGCAAGGAAATGTAAGAGTCCTTGCACTTTCTCTTCGGAAAACTCTCAGGGCAGTCGGAAGTAGCGGCCTATGACTGCCCAAACCCAACCCCAACATCAACAGGCCGTCTATTCGTAACCGATTGTCTAAGCAAAATGCAGTTTCTCGTAGACACTGGTTCTGATCTTTGTGTTTTTCCGCGGTCCGCGATGGGGACGCCACTTAGAAAATCCACTTTCGAGCTGGTAGCTGCCAACAACACAGTCATAAATACATACGGTCCAGTAAAGCTACACTTAAACTTAGGACTCCGGCGTGACTTCACGTGGAACTTTACTGTAGCTGATGTGTCCCGACCAATCATTGGAGTTGATTTCCTGACCTACTACGGCTTACTCGTAGATTGCAAACATCAGCGCTTGATTGATGGTGTTACTTCCCTCTCTGTTTATGCTTGTCAAGCTGAAGCATCAGACGACATTATCTCAGTCAAAGCAGTCACAGGTGAAACCGAATTTCATGGGATTCTACGCGAATTTCCTGAGATCACTAGGCCAGCAGGTATGCACTTTCCAGCAAAACATACCACTCTTCATTATATCAGAACCAC